CTGAGAGAGCTCTGAGAGAGCTCTGAGAGAGCTCTGAGAGAGCTCTGAGAGAGCTCTGAGAGAGCTCTGAGAGAGCTCTGAGAGAGCTCTGAGAGAGCTCTGAGAGAGCTCTGAGAGAGCTCTGAGAGAGCTCTGAGAGAGCTCTGAGAGAGCTCTGAGAGAGCTCTGAGAGAGCTGCCCTTGAGAGAACAGCTCTGAGAGAACTTGTGACTGACCCAAGGTCACCCAACTGGCTTTGTGTGGAGGAGTGGGGAATCAAACCCGGGTCCCCATTGGGGAGAAAGGCAGAGTATAACAAAGTTCATGGTTTAATTAGTGAACTGATCGGGTAGCTTGTTCTCTTAAAGATATCAACTGTTACACAACCAAGAGGTTCTTTGGGCAAAGACCCAGACATCCTGTTGTGCCACATTTCCCTTCCTTCTGGTATTTTTTTTCTTTAGAGAGAGGACTCTCAGCTGGGCCGAGAGCTCCATTTCACAGGCTCTGATCCACCGACGTCTCTGGCAGAGGGAACGTTGAAGAGTAAGGACCTGATCGACGTGGGACAGCTCAAACAGGAGGGTGCGGCTGCCGAAGGTTTCAGCACCACGGAGAGCGGAGAAGGTGGAGTCGGAGATGCGTTCCTCCTGAATGAAGCCGTGTCTTCTAGTAGCCAGGTCAGGAACATCAGGAGGCTAGTGGAACAGGAGGTCATGGACGTATTCTCCTCCGAAATGAAGAAGAAGAAGAGAAGAGATTGGATTTATACCCCGCCCTTCATAAGAACATAAGAGAAGCCAATGTTGGGTCAGGCCAAAGGCCCATCCAGTCCAACACTCTGTGGCACACAGTGGCCAAAAAGACCAGGGGCCATCAGGAGGTCCAGCAGTGGGGCCAGGACATTAGAAGCCCTCCCACTGTTGATGCCCCTGCCAAGCACCTGGTATTTTTGGCCACTGTGTGACAGAGTGTTGGACTAGATGGGCCTTTGGCCTGATCCAACACTGGCGTCTCTTATGTTCTTATGTTCTTAAGCACCAACTTCACTACCTGAAGGTGTCTCAGAGCGGCTTACAAACTCCTTTCCCTTCCCCTCCCCACAACAGATGCCCTGTGAGCAATGTTCCCTCTAAGCTGAGTTAGTGTGAGCTAGCTCACAGTTTTTTAGCCTCCGGCTCACACCTTTTTGTCTTCGCTCAGGAAGGAGGGCTCCAGAACTAATTTATGCAGTAGCCAGATCACTCACTCACAACTTTAATGGTAGTAGCTCACAAAGTGGAATTTTCGCTCACAGGACTCCACAGCTTAGAGGGAGCACTGCCTGTGAGGTAGGTGGGGCTGAGAGAGCTCTTGACAGAAACGGCTCTTTTTCAAGAACAGCTCTTATCAGAACTGTGGCTTGCCCAAAGTCATCCAGCCGGGTGTGAGTGGAGGAGTAGGGAATCAAACCCGGTTCTCCCAGATTAGAGTCCGCGCACTTCACCACGACACCAAACTGCTTACTGGTCTTTCAGCTTTGAAAAGACAGAGGCAGGTGGTCCCACCAGAGCTTGGGAGCTATGCAGGGGTCAGCCACGGGCAGGAATCAGACGGGAGACCACCAAAGAAGACTGGGGTTGCTATGCAGTGGCAGGCAGGGGCAAACCACCGCTGAAGATCCTTGCCTTGAAAACCCTATGGGGTTGCCATATGTCTGCTTATCCACCTGGCTTTGGCTTCCCACTCATAAGAACATAAGAAAACGCCAATGTTGGATCAGCCAAAGGCCCATCCAGTCCAACACTCTGTGTCACACAGTGACCACAAATACCAGATGCCATCAGGAGGTCCTGCAGTGGGGCCAGGACACTAGAAGCCCTCCCACTGTTGACCCTCCCCAAGCACAAAGAAGACAGAGCATCACTTGCCCCACTCCTCCACACACAGCTGCCAGTGTGTCCTTGGGTCAGTCACAAGTTCTCTCAGAGCTGTTCTCTCAAGAGCAGTCCCTCGAAAGAGCTCTCTCAGCCCTACTTACCTCCCAGGGTGTCTCTTGTGGGGTGGGGAAGGGAAAGGTGTCTGTAAGCCACTCTGAGACTCTTTCAGGTGGTGAAGGGCAGGGTATAAATCCAATCTCCTTCTCGCCCCCCCTTCTTCTTCTCTCATATCCAATAAGGAGATTGTATCGAATGCTCTTAAAACACATTGATATACGTTTGGGGATGATTTTATTCTTGAATATCTCCAAGAACAAGCCTTTGCCGCTTGCTGTCTCTCTTACCCCACCCGTTCAGGCATGTCTTTGCCCTGCCCTTAGCCAAAATCTGAGACGGTGTCCTCAGGTGCCAGACATCCGAGGTGTTTATACTGCTGTACCTTCCCTTGAAGGATCTGGCTCATATCGCATTAGCAACCGGCACAGTCCTAGGAGCAACTGTGGCCTCAGGGAAGGTTAAAATTGCAGTAATGGATTTCCGGTCACAGATAACACATAATGGCCCCATTTCTAAGAGCGGGTCTCTTCCATCTTCCCCTGAGCCCGCAATAATTGTCGCTTTTACACGTTTTCTTCTGCCTATTGGATTTGAGCGCCGGGGGGGGGAATGTGCTTAGAACGGCACTCACAGTTTCTTCTGCATCGTCACGTCAGGCAATAGTTGGCATCCAGATGGGGAACACTTGCGGCAGTGGCCTGATTCGGAGAGGGGGGCTTGTGTGATTCAGAAACGAGCTCGGGCCCTGTCCAGTGTTCCCTCTAAGCTGAGTTAGTGTGAGCTAGCTCACAGTTTTTTAGCCTCCGACTCACATATTTTTGTCCTGGCTCAGGAAGGAGGGCTCCAGAGCAAAGTAATTTCTGCAGTAGCCAAATCGCTCGCTCACAACTTTCATGCCAGGAGCTCAGAAAGTAGAATTGTTGCTCACAAGACTCCACAGCTTAGAGGGATCATTGGCCCCGTCTCCTGGCAAACGGTGCTCTGGTAATTCTGTTCCCGGCCCCCCTGTTCTCCCCCTCTTAAAAATGCTGCCTGAACGAGTCACTCTTTTGATTGTTAAAGTTTGGGGGGGTTATTGTGCGGCGCTCTGAGCTGAGCGAAACGAAACTTCCCGGCACTTTCTGGCAACGCGCGAAGGGGAGTTGGCGGCGCAAGTCAGTTGGAGACATCCGCCTGCAAGCCTCCAGCATTTTGGCTGCTTTTTGGCAGGTCCTGCCATTTGGGACTGCAGAGGTAAAGGTAAAGGTTCCCTTGCTCGAAAGCCAGTCGAATCTGACTCTAGGGTTGCGGTGCTCATCTCCGTTTCAAAGCCGAAGAGCCAGCGCTGTCCGAAGATGTTTCCGTGGTCATGTGGCCGGCATGACTAAACACCAAGGCGCACGGAACGCTGTTACCTTCCCACCAAAGTGGTACCTATTTATCTACTTGCAATTTACCGACCTTCCACAGCCTGCAGTTCAGCATCTTAACCACTTGAGCCACTGCAGGAAAGGCCCCACAGGAAAGTCACCCGCTTATCATTGCAGGCCTCCAAACCCATCTTCCGAGCCTGGTTTGATGGGCCTGAACTAACCATGGAGGAGGAGATTGGATTTATACCCCGCCCTTCTCTACCCAAAGGAGTTTCAGAGAGGCTTACAAACTCCTTCCCCTCCCCCTCCCCCCAACAGACACCCTGTGAGGTAGGTAGGGCTGAAAGAGCTCTGACAGAAACTGCTCTTTTTCAAGGACAGCTCCAACAGAACTACGGCTTGCCCAAGGTCATCCAGCATCTGCGAGTGGAGGAGTAGGGAATCAAACCCAGTTCTCCCAGATTAGAGTCTGTGCACTTAACCACTACACCAAAGTGGCCTGCATTTGCACAGCCAATTAACTGTGGTTAGCTTAATTTATCTGTTAGAATGGATCAAAGGAATTCACTGTCACAGGAGGGGGTGGCGGCTACAAGCATGGACGGCTTCAAGAGGGATTTGGATCAACACATGGAGCAGAGGTCCATCAGTGGCTATTAGCCATAAGGTATAGATAGGAACTCTCAGTCTGGGGCAAGGGATGCTCTGTCTTCTTGGTGCTGGGGGGGGGGCAACAGG